AAGGGGCCGCGCCATTGGCCGCGGCGGGCCCCGGTGTGTGCCCTCGGATACCCCCCGGCCCCACAATAGCGCGGCGCGGCCGCTCCGCCGGTGCCACCGGGCGGCCCACGGGGGTCTCACCGGCAGCCCCCGGCCCCACCGCGCCTCCGCTCTCTGCCCTCCCTTCCGCTCCGCACCCCGCGGCCCGCCGCGGCCTCGGCGGCGCGCAGCCCGCAGCCCCGGTGGGGGGGACCAGACAAACGGGGCGAGGGGGGGAACGCGGCGCCCGGTGCGGCGGCGGCGGCGCGGGGGGCGGGGGAAAGTTGTCGGAAAAGTCAGGAGTGAAACTTGTCTCACCAGGTCCTCGAAGCTCCGGCGGTGCTCCTTGCCCTGCCAGTCCAGGCGCCGCGGAATCAGCTGCGGGAGGGACACGGGGACGGGGGCGGCCGTCAGAGCCCGAGCGACCCCTCGCCGGGGAGATACCCCCGGTGCCCACCCGCGCCCCCCGGGATGCAGCCCCCCGGCCGCTGCCCCCGGCCCCGCCGCGGGGCAGCCGCGCTCCCGCCGGGCGTCCCGGGCGGAGATGGGCTGGGTTAGACGGGGCAGGGCAAACGCCGACCCCGCCGTCCCGAGGGCTTCCCCCGTCCCGCCGGGGCAGACGCCTCACCTGGTGCTCCTCCAGCTCCTCCACCAGTACCTGGGGACAGAGGGACACATAGACACAAACAAAGGACGTGAGTCCGGCGACCGCAGCGCACGGCTCCGCCATCCCGTCCCGTCCCGTCCCGTCCCGTCGCCGCCCGGCCGGCCCGGCCGGAGCGCCGGCTCCGCGCTCACCTGGGCGGATTTCTTGCAGGGTCCGGACTGCAGGAACCGTGCGATCAGGTAGTAGAGCTCTGCGGAGGGGCGGGGGAGAGCGGGTTAGACACGGTTAGAACGGAGGGGATGCGGAGCGCAGCCCCCGCCGCCAGCGATACCCACCGGCTTCCAGCTGGGTCGGGGCGGCCGCCGCCGCCATCCTCCTCGGGAGGGGGAGGGGAGGTGGCGGATGGCGCCCCGGGGGGACTCGGCTCCTAGTGCGGGCGCAGCCCCATGCCGAAGCGGCGGTGCCGGTGCGGGGCGCGGGTCCCGGTGCGGGTGCGGGCGCGGGTCCCGCCCGGGCTCATCGCGGCTCCGCGGACCGAGCGCCGCCGGCACCGCCCGCACCACCGCCGCCCGCCGCCGGGGGGCGCGCGCGGCAGCGCCGGGCGGGCGGGGGGGCAGGAAGGGCGGGGCGGTGACGCGCCGCGGGGGGGCTCCCGCCACTTCCGGGCGGCGGCTGAGGAGGAGGAGGAGGAAGGGGAAGGGCCGGGCCGGGCCGGGAGAGCCGGGATATGCCTGAGGCGTTTGGCCGCCGTCACGCGGCAGCGCTGAGCCGGGCTGTGCTTCAGAGGGCCCGGTAGCCGTCACGGGGGAGCGCTAACGGCCTCTGTGCTCGCGGCTTCGGCCCTCAGAGCCTCAGCGCTCACAGCTCCGGCCCTCACGACTCCAGTCCTTCCTCACGGCCACAGTGTTCTCGGCTTCTGGTCGTGGCCTCCTGCCTGGCAGTGCCTGGGAAATGGAGCCCCATGTGGGCCTCAAATGAAGCAGTCTTTATGTGAATGAAGGGATTCTGGAATCTTGGGGATCCTGCCAAGGACAAGGGGCACGGAACCCACGCGTGTGCTGTGGAGGGAACACAGGAGGGAGTGCGAGGTGGGGAGGTGTCAGCACTCCCGGGCTCCCGGTAAACAAGGCCTGGCTGCAGGGAAATGTCTCAGGTTCGGGTAGCTTTAGGAGTCAAATAAAAGTGTTTGCTCCCAGAGAACAGGAAATTCAAATACGATGGATACAGCACCCATTCTCCTCAAAGAACAAAGGGGTCAGATTTAGAGTAGATAGTTCTAATAGAAAGAAGTATTATTCCATGTAAGCATCTTGTCAGAGCTCCTGAAATCAGCGTCACTTCAGCAATAAGTTGTTAAAATACATAAACTGAATCATATTTTATCTCAAGTACCTGGCATTTGGTGTTAGAACTCCAGAGCCTTGGCAGTGTAAAAACTGTTGTCATCATGGAATAACAAAAGACAACCTCTTTTAATGTCTGGAATATCAAGAGCTGAATCACTGTGAGTCGATGCTCTGGAAATATTAAGAATAAGTTGAGTTTGAACATATATTTATAGCAGCTGCTCAAGACTGGGTTTGCTGTGAAGCACTGGCTCAGAGTTTTCTTGCTGTGCAGTAAGGTTGCAGTCCTTCCTGGTGGCAGCTCCACAGGATGCCTTCAGGCACCCAGCCAATCTAGGGAGAATGATTTAGGGATTTGGCATTAAGCTGCTCCACATAATTCACCTGTACTCACCTGCCCCGTCATCCAGCTGTGGAAGTTGTTTTGTGCCAGGAGCTTGGATTAACTGGGTGATGTGTGCACCCTGTTTCCTCTTCATTGTCCTCTAAAGTCCTTGAGTTGTCAGTGGCAGTTTGGTGGAAGGGGCCTTAAAGCTCATCCTGTCCCACCCCCTGCCATGGCTGGGACACCTTCCGCTATCCCAGGTAGTTCCAAGCCCTGTCCAGCCTGGCCTTGGGCACTTCCAGGGATCCAGGGGCAGCCACAGCTTCTCTGGGCACCTGTGCCAGGGCCTCAGCACCTTAATAAAAATTTCTTCCCAGTACCCCACCTAACTCTGCTTTCTGCCAGTGGGAAGCCATTTCCCCTTGTTCCAAGTCCCTTTCCATTTTTCTTGTAGGCTCCAAACAATTACTTTTGGAATGTTTTCAGGGCAGGATCATTGCTCCACTCATCAGTGGACAGACACAAGGTGCCACCTCACCAAAATGTGAATTCCAGTGGCTTCTTCACAGGAGAGACAGGGTGAAACTGCTGTTCTCAGAATGAATTCCCAGCCAGGAGAAACACACACTGATCCCACTCTCCAGAGAGATAATGTTTCTCCCACCTGTCTTCAGAGCTGCAAGAACTGCAAGCTCATCTTTCCATGCTTGATAGGAAGGCAAAGGAGAAAAGGAGAAAACACAGATGATGTTTTATATTATGGCCTGAAAGTACAAATCCATCTTCCTGAGCTGAACAGAATTCCGTGTCAGGGAAAAACAGCCCCATAAATACTGTCCAGCACCATGTCCTGGTGCATTCCAGTGCCAACAGCTCCTTAATATATCCATGCTTAGGTGAGACCCCCTACCTGCAGAGCTGCCTCCAGCCTGGGATACCCAGCACAGGAAGGAATTGGAGTTGTTGGAGCAAATCCAGCGAAGGCACCAAGATGATCAGAGGGATGGTGCAGCTCTGCTATGAGGAAAGGCTGGGAGAATTTGGATTGTTCAGCCTGGAGAAGAGAAGCTCCATGGCGACCTAATTGTGCCTTCCAGTTCCTGAGGGGAGCCCACAGGGAGGATGGAGAGAGACTAAGTGGGCCTGGAGTGCCAGGACAAGAGGGAATGGTTTCCCATTGCCAGAGGGCAGGGTTAGGTGGGATACAGGGAAGGATTTCTGCCCTGTGAGGGTGGGCAGGCCCTGGCACAGGTTGCCCAGAGAAGCTGTGGCTGCCCCTGGATCCCTGGAGGTGCCCAAGGCCAGGTTGTACAGGGCTTGGAGCAGCCTGGGATAGTGGAAGGTGTCCCTGCCTGTGGCAGGGAGTGGGGCTGGATAGGCTTTAAGGTCCTTTCCAATCCAAACCATTCTGGGATTCCATGGTTCTGTATTTCTTTAGGAATGTGATATTTCCTTGGCACCTTTTGGTGCCTTACTGAATCTCTCCACTCATGATTTGCTTTTATTTGAGCTTGGGGGTGGCACAGGTGACACTGCAGCACCACCAGGCAGGATTGTTCTGTTTGGGCCTGTCTAGAGCCCGTGGGGATTTCTGCAGTAACTAAAACTTTCAAAAGCTTTCAAAAGCCTGGGATAGAAAATGCTCCCAAAGTAAGCTTATCCATGCCTTGCTTGTGTCCTTCCTGCAGCATTCCAGCTGAGAGCCTGGCCACTCCTTGCTTGGTGCTCAATCCATGACCTTGTGTCAGTGCCCAGCCGTGCTTGGTGTTGCTCCACAACATGGCTCAGATGGATTCCTGCATCAGCAGGAGGGGAGAGTGTTGGGAATGCCCCAGGTGTGTCCTGTGTGTGCCGCAGGGCACAGCTGTGCAGGTACCTGCACCAGGGGTACAACCAACATTCCTCATTCCCAAACAGTTCACAGGGAGCTTCCCTCGGCCTGGCTCCGCCTGGACTGTGCTGCTGTGCAGTCATTCCCGAGCCTCTTCCCAACATTCCTGACTCCATGGCACCTCAGCTCCCTCTCCTTAATCCTCTTCCAGTTGCTTTGTTCCTCCCCAAGCCTGCTACAAGGGCTGTTACTGATATCTCTTCCCACCTCTCCCGGGTTTTCCCCTCCAGGAGTCATGTCTGGTGAGTAATGCCCATCCTCTCTTTCCCCAGGAGCTCCATTTCCACACCACTCGAGGATCCTGCAGCTCCATGACTCATCTTTTTCCAGATCCTCTGCATCCAAGCAGCAGCATGCTGGGGGTGATAGTAAATCTCGGAGTGAAAGCAGGATTTTATGGATGTGCTGATTCATCTTTCCTCAGAGCAGAGCTGTGTTATGTAAATGCCAGCAGCAGCTGGTGGCAGGAGGAGGGAGAACAGACTAATGAGCCACGGAAGGATTCAGGAGCAGAGACACTTTAAGGAAGAAGCTGGATTGTAGCTGTTTCCATACCACTCTTTAAATAAATAAAAACTAAAATTTTTGAGGGATTTTAGGAGTAGGAACTGATGACATTCAAATACCCATCACTTCTCCCCATTTGGTGTTGTAGGGACTTTTACTCTCAGTTGTAGTTAAAAGTAATACTCAAAATTTGACTACAAAATTAAGTGATCTTCCCCACAATCAGCTTGTAATACCAGGTAAAGGTGTTTCTCTCATATTTTATGTATAATTATTCTGTCCTCACGAGTCAAATCCTGCTTTAGCTGTGTGTGGAAACAGAACTGTGGTTTAGCATAACCAGAAATTACAGTTAAAAATAAAAAAAGTAGGTTAAGAGTGGAATTGTGTATGTGTGGTAGGTTTACCTGCATTGTACCTTTCCAGCAAATGTAGATGTGGATGCACATGCCTGAATCCAGCTGCTTTGAACACTAGAACAAATGAAGCATTTTTGTCTTTTTTTTTTTTTATATATTTTCTGTGTACATTTCATGGAATACCCTAAGTTGGAAGCAACCCACAAGGATTTCTATGAACATCCTGTTCATCTTGGGCCTTTCATATGGAGCTAAATGTCAAACAAGGATAGTAGTTAAATCCAAGTTTTTGTTTAGCTGATTCAAAAATAAGAGCTGTTCAGAAGGAATTTAGGAGTTGGTGCCTTGTGCTACATACTTGTGAGTAAAGGAATATCGAAAAGTCCAAGCTTATTTTAAGATCTTTACATACAGAAACCTCAAATTTTGATATCATTGTTTATTTAAAAAAATAAATGAGGTGCAAAATAATTAGCACTAATTACAGTTGCTGGAGTGCAGGGCACACAAACATCCTGTTTTTGCAGGACAAATCTCCAAGTTCCCACTCCTTCCTGTGGTTCTCTCCCTCGACAAGAGCTGTTAAATAATAACTAAATAGCTGTTAGATATTACACAAGATCTGCTCTAGGATTTTGGCTGTTTTTAATAATTTAATTCCTCTGCTGCATCATTCCAGTCATTCCTCTAGATGGTGCCAGACATCCAAGAGTTGGTGCGGCATTATCCCGTAGGAAGGCGATGGAGGAACGGCCAGGACGCCGCTCGCCTTTGTTTCTAAATTCTGTCTTGCAGTAGTTCATCTCGTTGACAAACTACTTGTTCTGCTGATGTAAATATGATGGTTTTTTTTTTCCTTTTGAGAATCCTAAAATCCATTCAGCCTAAATTCCACCTGCCTGAAGCAGTGTCATCCCTTGCTCCGTGGACTGATCCATATCTCATATTCCTTATGGCAGCCATTAGCTGCTGTGAGCTGTGATCAGTGTGTGCAGCCCTGCTGCGACTGGGGGAACTTAATCTGCCTGGTTTGCAAAGCAGTGAAATTTCTGACTATTATCTAAACATTTCTCCTTATCTCTGTTTCACACAGAAATGCCAAATCCAGCTGTGGATGAAACATGGAGGAAAAGGGGTGGCTCTGTGTCCCTGTGTGCTCTGGGCTTTGCCAGCAGAAGGACCAGGGGAATGATGTCAGTGTCAGATCCATCCTCAGCATCTCTGAATTCCAACTTTATACCTCAAAGTGCCTGGAACCCCCCAGGTTTTATAGCAGCAAAATTACTTCTGGGTGTAAGTGACCAGGTAGGTTTTGTTATTGCTGGTGTTGCTACTGCACTCAGCACGATCCCTATCTAAGGGCCTGATTCTGACCTGTGTCTTCTGGTTGGGATCAAGCCCCCCATTCCCAACCTTTCCCAGTTTCTCCTGACATGCCTGTGGCTGCTACCAGTCCAAGGGTCCCCTGCACAAGGACCTCACCCCAAAAATACCACCTGATATCACTACTTGGCTAATTCAGCAATTTCAAGTCATGCTAAATATTTGTAAATAGTTCTTTGATGTTCTGTTTGTGATTTTTTAGGTTTATAGGGCCAAACCCTGCATTTTTGGCTTCTCCTGGAAGCCTGGGCACTGACTGCATCTGACTGCAACTGGGAATTCATCACCTCTCTCCCTGGACATGCAAATTTTACTGGAACTCCCTCAGCTAAGTAAACAATTTTAATAAAATTACATCCCTGTCTATCCCATACCTTTTTCCATAAAGTTTTGAGGATTTTTGTGGTTTAATTATATTTTTCATTTTACAAAAATAACAGAAATATCGGAAGGAGTACAATAGGGTTTCTTAGAATGCTGCTTTTATTGAAATAAAAGGTTATAAAATAGTTTGATGTATTTTTTTATATTTATTGACATCCCTAACAGGAAGACATTGTAAATAAGCTCATTAATACTCTTTAAATACAGTCTTATAAATTAATTCTCAATTACTGCATGAGGTGATGGATTAGAAAACTGTCCTGTGTAAATATGCCCACAGGAGTGTGAGTTTGGAATGAACTTTCTAAGTCACTAATCATGGAATCTGAGGATGAGATTTTGGAACATTTCTCAAAGCGCTGTCCCATGCAGGAATTCTCTTCCCATTATTTTTATTTCTGGAGTATAAAGCCTCTTATCATGATCTTTAATTGAAGATGACATCGCCCTCTTATCCCTCTTAAGGAAAAACTTTAACATGGAAACTTCCATAAATTCCTCTGCAGTAAAGTGACCCCATATTTAATTTAATTCTTGTACTTCCATCATTTAATGGACATTCACGTTCTCCTGTAGCCTTCCACCTTTGTATCTCTGGGAAAAGTCTTTCCTCTGATGTCCTCAGGAGTCCAGATGTCAGAATCTCTTTTTATTTTTGGTCTTAAATTATTAGGGCTTGAGACATAACCTGCTAATATATGTTTTGTGTGTCATCTTTATTTGGAGAGGCCTGACATTCTTGGAAGGTCTTTTAAACTGTTTTTTTTTTGATTGAAGGACTAATTTAATTTAATTTCCTGTGAGGTGATTTTCAACACCTGCAAGTTCTTGCCCTGTTGGCTGTTCTCTTTCATTTCTCTTACACCAATAAAAGTATATTTAGAGTTTGTGAAGTCCCCGAATTCTGTGTGTTTGAGTTTCTTCTGGAAAGCCACCAGAGGTGGAAGGTGAAGCTGTGAAGGCCCATGGTGTCCATAAGGAAAGAATTATGCCATCAGTCCTTATTTCCCTGAGGTTTTCATTGTTATCCCTGGATTGTAATGGGACAAGTGTGAAATTTGATTGTAGAGGTGGAAAAAAGCATCTCCTGTTCGTTCTCCACATTGTCCTTGAAGTCTAAAGGATCTTCCATTTTCCATTTCCTGCTGAGGATCCTCTTCTCTCCATGCATTTCCTGATGTCTCTGGACACCTTTCTCTCTCCTGCTCTGTGCAGTCAGTAGATCTCAGTCTTTTCATTTTTTTTTTCCTCTGTTTGCTCCTTCCTCCTTCTTCCTGACTGAGGTTGTTACAGGTCACACCTTTCAGAACTTGACTTTCTTCCAGCCCCATCTTCCCATCTTGACTTTGCTGCTATGAACTCTGCCAGTCCCCCATGCCCTTGTATCCTGGGGGTTTTGTCCTTGCTGATTCCAGGATGTCTCTGGAACGGCCAAGGAACATTTCCATGGGAGACACAGTGCATCCTGAAATAGGACATGGAAAAATCCCACTGAGAGTGATGCTGACCTCTTACTGCAGGTTTCAAGCAGGCATTGGAGAAATCCTGGGAGCTGAGAACTGAGGGAGAGATTTAGGGAGACCAGAGGCTCATGAGATGCATCAAGACTCTTTAAAACCTTGTTTTGTCCATCTTGAACATGTGGAAAACAAACCAGGCTGCGGCATTCCCTCCCTGTCGGGAGAAGAAAGCAGCAGGACAAAATCTGTTGTTGGAATTTCCCTCCAGCAGCACTTCCATCCCTCCCACCCGAGGGCAGTCGGGGTGAGCCATGGCCATGCTTGGGGGACTCATCCCAGGGGACCCGGGTGTCCCAGAGCTGGGCACTCTGCTTTGTTCCCTGCAGCCCCACCCACCCCCTCAGCCAAAAATGACATTTTTCACCAACTGCAAAGCCTCCTGCTCCTGCTTTAATGTTAATTTTGGGAGTTTTCAACTGGACTCTGAGCTACCTCATCCAGGAATCCGCGTGGCAGCCCCAAGGTCCAGCCCCATCTGGGTGACAGAATTTGTTTCCTTTGGCAATATGGATTTAACAACCGGGCTTCCAGCCCTGGGAATCATTTCCCTCAAATAGCTGCAAAATAAATGATGGGACATTTTCCAGTGTAGTGCTGCAACCACCCAAAACACCACTGTAAAATTCACAGAGGCCAGGCAGAGTGAGTGTATTAAGCAAGGCTTAGGGGGATTATGGAATTAAATTGGGAGCCCCTTCCACCCTTCCCCCAGTCAAAGACATTCGAAAATAAATATTAAAAAAGGGTGTTAAAACAATGGCTTTGGCTAAAACCTCTGCAAGCAAAGAACCTTGTTGTGGAGGCTGTTGCTGAGCTGTGGACTGGTGTGTTCAGGCTGTGTTCCAGAGGGTTTCCATCAGGGAGCCGGGATAATCTCAGGAACACCCAAGGGCTGTGGCTGGAACGCTCCCAGAATGGCTCTGCTTCCCAAATTCCCTCTGCAGAGGAGAAGTGCACCAGCCCCTCGTACAGCACAGGACCTTGCCTCCTCTCCTCTGGATTCTGCTGCTGCCTTTGGCATTCCTTATCCTCTGCCTGCAATTCCCAGCTCTGTCCTTTTCCCGACATCAGGAACATCCTGCTCCTTTCAGGGAGAGTTTGTGCAATGAAAGCTTTGCTTTAATCTGGGCTGGATTTAGCCAGATGCTGCAATCCTGGGAAGGCTTACACAGGACTCAGGTCTGCCATGGGAATGTAGCCTTGATTTGATAATCTGGGAATGGTTTATTTAAAATTAAAAACATAGAAAACCTTTAAAACAGCTTTTTTTTTGAGCTTCTTTTGGCCTTGCAATAGAACAGGCACCCAGGCTCCTGGTCACAAATAGGGTCTGGCACCCATTAAATAGGTTTTAGGCTAATGAGGCACACTGTGCCTGCTTTAATTAAATTAATTAGAGCCAAAAAAAACCCATTTCCCATTAAAAATCTTTAGCATCATAATAACACAATGAATTTAAATATTTAATATAAAAATACATAAAATTAAATATTAATTTCAAATACACTTACAGAGCCCATTTGACCCAAATGACCCCACAAATATTCCCTTACCAGAGAATCCCTTTTCTCTGCATCTTTATTAATGTGATTACAGACCTTTGTATTTAAAATCTTTATTTTAGTACAATTCTCTTGGTAATAAAATAAATTCATGAGACACCTGTGCAGCAAGAAATAGGATGTACAGAGATTTTAAGCTATTGGAGGCAAACGTGGCTTATTCTTGCCCATGTCAGGGCCTGGGGTAGATGAGCACAATGACACCAGAGGCAGCTGAGTGTATTAATTAGTGCTAATTAATAAAGCACTGTGTTATCTTTGACCTTCTCACAGCTCACTGCACAGGCTGAGGAGGAAGGATAAGGAATAAGCAGAGGAAAATCCTTTTGGTCAGAGTTTTTCTGTGCCTGCCTCTCCTCTCTGCCTCCCCCAGGTCCTGTGTCCCCCATGCCTTAGCAGGGAGCAGTGACACCTCATCCTGCAGTCTGGAATTCCAGGGAATCCTGCAGCCCCATGGGAAGCTGCTGGCTGGGAAGGGGCTGGGGATGCTGACTGCTTGTGACAAGTCTTGCCTGGGAGAAAACCAACACGGCAGCGGTTGGAAACCTGAATGATGTCACTATGGCAACAAAATAACTCACCTTAAAATAAAATGTGCATTGGAAGCAACCTCATGTGCTCAGGGAATACAGGGAGGAAGCTGCTATTTTTTATATGTATATATATTTTTATGTTTATGTATTTCTTAGTATTTTTTCAGCTTCCTGAATTCTTGCCCTGTTACCAGATACTGATGCAGATATAAGAAGTATTTTAATTTCTCTCAGCAATGAAATGAAACAGAACATGACCAGACCTCCAGAAGAAGGAAAAATGTGTTTGCTGGAGGGCAGGAAAACCCTGGAGCTGCTGATAACTACAAGTCATTCTGATGGATGTGAGATCCAGACTATCAATATCCACAGCTCACAGCATTGATTTGGGACTAATTATTGCTAATATTTTTCATGGATGTAGTCCATCCCTTTCCAACAATTCCAAACTCCATTTCCATATTTGTTCTTCCCAGACAGGTTTCCCCTTGTTTCTCCATTAAATAACAGCAACAGGTGGAAACTGAGAGATTTCTCTAGAAATTCCAAACTCTCCCTGCCTCTTTTCATCCCATGAGCATCCCAGCCAGGTTGGAACTGTGGTGATTCAGCCACAGCGCGGCTGGTGAGATGTTCCCAAGTTTTCTCCTAGTCCTGGATGCTTTTTAGACTGGAGTGAGTGACTTTGACCCCCTCAGTGTGAGGGGAGCCAGGATGGGAAGTGTAGTGGGGGATGAGGCTGTGAGCTGTGCCGAGCTGTAGCAGGCCTGGCAGCTCCTCAGGGATCCAGCCCTGGATCCAAGTCCTGCCTGGCTTTTCTCCTGCTTGCCAAGGGCAAAGAGCATTTATGGGATGAAGCATAAAGCCAGGGAAAGCCCAGAACCCCTGATCTGGTTCTGCAGTGCCCCTTGACTAATCCAGGGTAAAAATAGAAACATAAATTGTCTGGTGTTTTGCCGGGAAGCAGAAATCCAGCAATGCTTGAGTTTGAATCATCCAGATGATGCGCTGCAAGAGGGGGTTGTTGCTCTGGAAATCCCAGTGATCCCCAGGGACTGGGATCATGGTCCAGGTGGAGAGATGTTCCCACTGCTCCAGCGGGCAGAGCAGGGCCAGAGCTGGAGCTATTTTAAGCCGAGCAGAGGCAGAGCCTTCATTGGCGCTGTGTGTGCTGGGAACAGCATCTGCCTGGGAATGGGCAAAGAAGTGCTAAAGGCTCCACAGCCACAGGTTTTCCCATGGTTTTTGCAAAGTTCAGCCCATTCATAAAAGCCATGGAAAGCTCAGCACATCCCAGCAAGAATCATCAGCACCCACAGCTGCATGAGCAGCTCTGGACTTCCAGTTCTTGCAGTGCAAAAATAAATGCATTTACAGAATAACTGTATTTTATATAATACTTATATAATGTATAATTCTATATTATAATTATATTACATAATATCATAATTTTCCTCCCTATATCTCATTTTCTGAGAGCTTTGCACCCAGTTCGATGGCAGTGAAAATAATTTACTTCCAACCACTGCTTTTATAGGAAACCAGAAAAAGTGGATTAAAAGGAATGAGGTTATGGAGCATGAAAAAATACTCCAAAACAACTGTGGAGGAGGGAAGAAGAGGTTCTGCTCTGGCCCCGGGTGAGTTCAAGGGGATGCTTCGGATACTTGGGTGCCAAATAATGCTAATAATTGAGAATGTCACATTTTGACGTCATCAGCACGGCATCCAGACACTGCCTCTCTCCTTCCCATCGGTATTTCCTTGCAATCCCGCATTCCCTGCAGCCTGTGGTCATTGGGAGAGCAGGGAATAGCTGCTGTGGCTCCCTGCTCCCTGGCAGCGCGGGAGGGATGAGCCGAGATTGAAATCGTTTCCTACCATTCATGTGAAGACGACTCCCAACACCGGCTCCGGCTCCATCCACATCACTCCTGCACCCCATCTCTGCAAGGAAAAGTAATCACTTGTCTTCCCTCCGGGTTTAGTTAGTCCCTGCTCCGGGGCTAATTAGGAACGCAGTCCGCGCGGAAGTCGGAGCCGGAGCCCTCCCTCTCCCGCTTCCTCTCCCGCTTCCTCTCCCGCTTCCTCTCCCGCTTCCTCTCCCGCTTCCTCTCCCTCTTCCTCTCCCTCTCCCTCTCCCGCTTCCTCTCCCTCTCCCTCTCCCTCTCCCGCTCCCTCTCCCGCTCCCTCTCCCGCTCCCGGTCCCTCTCCCGGTCCCGCTCCCGG